TTGGATAAATCCTACTTTTCCAAATCCTATTTAAGTTAAATCCTACTTTTCATAATCATATTTCAGTTAAATCCTACTTCAGTTAAATCCTACTTTTCCAAATCATATTTGGGTTAAATCCTACTTTTCCAAATCATATTTGGGTTAAATCCTAGTTTTGAATTTGAGTGTTGATCAGTTCCAGCCAGTGAGCAGATAATTGTTCGTACAAGCAAAGACGTAAGTAAGTCAAGTTTATTGTTAATAACTAAAGGGCCCCAGTAAATGTAGCTTGGAATAAAATATAAATATAAATATAAATAAAGCATAAAACTTCCAAATTCATTCCATGCAACGGTAGCAGAATTGCAAACTCTTGGCAGTGAACTGTTCTTACATTTTGGTTTCACTATCATTTGACAGAACCTCTAAATAATTCCCCAATTTCTGACAAGAATCTATTGTCGAAACGATCTATTTACCAATTGCCATTTTGGACAGTCATCACCATACGGAAGGCATCTGAAGCCAAATTGGCAAAGTTTGCCAGTACATGACCTGTGACCTCTGACGCTCTCTAAACATAAGAAACAAGCCTGGCACAAAAATGCTGGATTTGAATGCTGACCGCTGGTCAGAAGGTAGAGGTCAGAGGTCAGAGATCAGAGTTGTCCAAGGGGGCAGTGGAGGCTTTTGATTGATGATGTTCTTTGCGAATCTAGATCAAGCTGAAAGTAAATACTACTAAGGATTTATCTCGGGGTTCTCAGCCTTGCTTGACCTTGGTATAAAGATCTATACTGAAACTTCGCCATTCCAGTAAAATATAGAAGTTGTTATCCATAAATTGTGTCTATTTTGTCATCCGTCAACATCAAAGTAATGCCTATCAAACAATTCAGTTCTCAGAATGTTGATATGAGACCCAAAGTCAACAGCAAATGTCAGCAAAAAACCCAAAAATGCAGTTTTCCGTTTCAGATTTTCCACAATTATAACATGTTTTTTTGTCAAAAAATCGCTAGTAAATTCCCATTTAGAAATCTCCTTTTTCTCAATTTTAGGATTTCCTTAAATTTTGAGTATGTTTCAACTTCGCAAAGGTGACATTCACTGACATCACCAATATAGAGATAAATGCATTAATCAAGTCTTTGAAAGGCATTTAGAAGTGATACATATAAGGAAGAGAATTTATGAATGTCCACTTCTTTATTACCGGTATAAGAAACACAACGTTTCAGAATCTATGCTTACTCCTTCATGAGGTGAATGGACCATTCACCTGATGAAGGAGTAAGCATATACATGTACTCCGAAACGTTGTGTTCCTCATAATAAAGAAGTTGACATCCATAAATTCTTTTCCTTAAAGACATTAATGCTAAGTTTTACATCACCACACTTGATTCCAAATATAAATACCACTCAAAATAAGAAAATTGACCTCCACACAAAAAAAGTCACAATAATTCGACTAAATAATGCTTTTCCCCCAATTTGCCTGCTATGAGAACTTACTCTGAAATTCTTGCCGATCCCTGACCACAAAGAATGTCAATAAGCCCCAACTACGGACATACAAGAGAACAATGATTTATATTGTGATCCTATCCTTCACATCAGTTTCCCAGTCGCAGGTATTCTGAAGACAGTTAGTTGGATTGTTTTTATATTTCTTGGTTTACGGGTTTCAGCGGATGTTTGTAAACCATTTGAATTCAGAAGCATACCAGTTGGACACTATATGTTTATCCCTCACCACTGATTTACTTGTTCCTTCAAACATCTTAAGTTAATTCTTTAATATTTATTAAAATATAACCTTTAATTTTTTGTTTTTGGTTTTTCAGAGTCAGTGTGAAATATTGTAAAGGCTTATTAAATCAAAGTGATTCAACCCTGTGACTAGATATAACATACTCTGCTGTACACGTTTCTGTCCTAGTTGGGAAGTATAACCTCCCTTATCTACCCTCCCTTTGACTGGTCACCATCAGTAACTAAAACCGGGCCAAATCTGGCAACTTCCTTCAACCATCGGGGCGGTCGGGTAGCCTAGTGGTTAAAGCGTTCGCTCGTCACGCCGAAGACCCGGGTTGGATTCCCGACATGGGTACAATGTGTGAAGCCCATTTCTGGTGTCCCCCGCCGTGATATTGCTGGAATATTGCTAAAAGCGGCGTAAAACCATACTCACTCACTCACTCCTTCAACCATCAGACAATTATCGTGACACTTATGTGATTATCCTCAGCCACTAGACATGAATATTTTAGGTTCCAATGCTTCCTTCTTCTAATGCCTTTCCATTAATCAAATGTCCACACATATCTACCATACGCCTTCCAATCCAAATGTCTAAAATCCAGTTTTATGATTTTTCACCCTGACAAATAAATAAAAACCTGAAAGACAAGGGTATCAAACTGAACTTGTGTTATCGTCCATCAATGGTGATAAATGACCACAAAGAAAGACAGGGATGGAGGGCACAGACTGCAAGGAACAATGCATTTACGATTTTAACCATGCCATTGGCACTATAATACAAGGAGTTTCGAACCCTGAAAAACCTGCCAGGTTTATTTGGCACGTCACTAGCAACAGTCCCTTGCTCCGGTGCTACCCCGTAATTAAAATCAACTTTAACTAGGGATTTATCTTGCATTCCGAACTGAGAAATCTTGGCAGACAAATTAGGGAAAAAATGTTATTTTGTACAAAATTGGAATTTAATATTTTTTAACGTTTCTCTTCCTCCTTATTGGTCCTGGTCACAGGTCACCTTGACCCAGCCATCACATTAGTTTTAACAATACCAACAGGAACGGGGAAATATTCAATTCCCATTTGGGAAATTTTGCGGACATTTGTTGCAGATTTGGGGCCGACTGAGCATGTCCAGGTAACCCCTGTTAACACTGTGTCTGTGCCACCTTTCACACATATCTGTATAGAGATATTAGGATCTGATTACAAATAATCTTTCAGCTCCCAATCGGTCAAGCAAATATTATTCCATCACAAAGTTGACACAATATTTTGAAGCAGTCATGCAGAAGATGGTTGAAAACATTGCCATAACAACTGAAAATGCTAAATAAATAGAATAAAAATGATAAATATAAAAAAAGGAAGGAAAAGGGTTTCAGGTCAATACCTTCTTCAGGGTTTTTTAGAATGGGCATCTTGGGGGCATCTTGGGGGCATCTTGGGATCATCTATGGTCTTTTAGCAACATCTGCCATAAGAAATCAAGTCAAACCAAACCCTCACTTGTCTCTCTTACGCCTTCCCCAGCATAATTTTTATAAAACAATCACCACCATTCCATTCTCATCCCTTCCAAGAAGCAGCATCCTATATTCATTACCCTTTCACAGGGGTAGATTTAACAACAAATTTGTATGTAGATAGCAGGGCTTGCTCCTTTTTACTGGCCCTTCTCCAAACCAACTGGCCTACAACTAAACGGTGGAGGCCTCGAAGTGACCGACTGACCGAGTCTGAGGTCATGTAGCCAACTAGCAGGACTCTGAAAATTTTAGAACTCCTCACCCCTAAAACATTTTTTTCCTGCACTCTAAGACTAAATCTTGGTTTCGATTCACCTCATTTCATAGTAATTTATGAGCAAATAAAGATGTTGTTGTACACAACATAACGAAATGGCAGGTTGCCATTGTACCGAGATGATCAAAATAAAAAAATTAAACATACATGGAGAAGGGGTCAAGTTTTGTAGCCAGATGGGCCATTAACTTTACGTTTGAAAGCCATTTGTAATTTTAACTGGCCACGGGCAAATTGCCAGCAGCTAAATCGACCCCTGCTTTCATCTCTGGGCTGAAAATAGGAGACATGAGGGTTCCTAAACAATTGTTCCTTCTTTAGAATTATTCTTATTTAACCTTATGGATAAGTTTTTCGGGGGCCATATCTTAGTCTAACTCGCTTGATTCATCTTTGAATGTCCAGATTTTAACCAGATGTTCTTGTCGTGCATAAACCTAACCAAAGTAAAACAGATACTTCATAAACAGATAAACTGTTTGATTGGTATTCCAGACATTAGTGAGTAAATAAGAAAACATACAACTTTATGGACAGCATCCTCTGGTATATTGCATATATACGTCCAGCTTGATGACAGTGTAAGAATCTACATCAAAACGTAGCTAAATACAATAAACAAGAACTTGTTACCCATAAAGTTGAATGTTTTCTTATTTAGATACTTCATGCTTATCAAAATGACTTTCATCACATCAAAGAGAATGCATATGATATTTCATAACCACCATATGCTCTTTCTTTAAACATTAACATAACAGAAACACATGGTTTGAAATTGTCAAACACTGGCACTTCAAAAAATCAACAACCTAGGTATAAAAACAACAATATTATCTGTACCGTAAATCAACACAGCCAGAAGTATATTCTCACAATATAGATTCCTGCAAACATGGTCCAGAGATTCTCAATGGCCATCTCAGGTAACCATGGTAACAGTAGAAAATGTCCAGTATACATGGTCATTTACTGGTAGACACAGCAGTGTTCAAGAAGCATTTGCCAAAAGTAAAAATGTCCATTTATTTTTAGAGGGGTCTTTTTGCTGTTGGGTTTGTTATCGTGTCAGGTACAATAAGAATACGACAAACCAATCAGAATGGGCTATGATTTCAAGTTCTTTGTCAAAGAATCCCTCAGAAATAATTTTTGATTTTACATGTCTTGCATCTAAAAATATACCCAACACACAGTTAAATGTGTTCAATCATACTGAAAATTCCGCATGTCTCAATGTGCTTTAAATTGCATCTGAAATATATATACTACTCAAAAGAAGTTAAGGATCACCCGATTCTTTCATATTGGTAATGTTAATCTGTCATGGCAGGAGAGATTAACTATTGTAATATGAAAGAATCAGGTTATCCTTAACTTCTTTTGAGTAGTATATAATACATGGGGAAATATTTGTGAACCATTACGCAACAAGTTGACAATTGTTTTAGGTATGCCCGTTTGCGCTAAGATGGAACCTGGTCGCAAAAATGGCCATGAGAGGGTCAGGGGTCACTTTTCGGCTTGTCCCGGTATAACACAAGTTGGTCACGAATGAGTCACACTACCCACTGTACGACATTCAGTTCTTGAGGAAGCTATTTGGGTCCAGTACATTAAATTTTTACAAGTAATTTACCCATTTACCCATGTTAAATTAATGAAGTACTTGATGAGGATGGTCTCCTGTGTGTACCAGTAAACAATCTGTGGACCTCTGATCGGCCATTTTGAAAACACTAACCTTTACAGTAATCCTGGTCTAGGTGATGACAAATGATCTAATGCCATGGTGTTTTTCACTTACACTTACATCCACACTGTAAACTTGTTCTGTTTAAAAACTGTAAATTGTTTTTCATATGCATTACCTCAGTATATTCATGAGTTACTGGGCTGACATTTATCAATGGTATTGTAGACAAGTATTTTCTTGCAAATACATAACATCATATGATAGCAAATGTCCCACTTCTACTAAGTGACAACAACCACTAGTTAGTTATCTCCCTGTATGCAAACATGTTTTACAGTTATCTCCCTTTATCAAAGTCCTCAGCAATGCTGTTAACAGTTGATGAGCCTGCGGCAGTGATTTAAATGGTAGAGATTATCACAGTCGCTCTCTCTCCATAACCAGGCCAGTTGTGTCACAATATTGTACACTGAAAATGAAAATGAAAGGAAGCAATATTATTAATTTCAAAACATGGTGCATATATTTCTATTTCACATTTTCTAATGATTAAAAATACACAATGAGAACATATCTAGTAAATGATCAAATTAATAAAATCTCTTAGTCTTGCATTAATGAAGCAGTTGAATTGGAACAAGAGTTTCGCCCCTGTTACAGAATTTATGACATAATTAAATCTAAACAAACCCTAACCTTTTTTAACCGAGGTGGAACTTGTCATGGAAATTGTAAAAAAAAGAAGAGTTTGGAACCTAAGTCCATCTTGCTGCCATGGAAACGTAAAAAAATAAAAATTTCTAAAATTTCTAAATAGCAAAAGGAACAAGTTCAGCATGTACCTGAAAAACCTGCAAAGTTTGATGAAAAAATATTGAACGGTTTATGAGTTATGCTCCGGAATCAAAACCCTACCCTCGCAGAACCTAAGTCCATCTTGTTGCCATGGAAACGTAAAAAAATAAAAAATTCTAAAATTTCTAAATAGCAAAAGGCACAAGTTCAGCATGTACCTGACAGACCTGCAAAGTTTGATGAAAAAATATTGAACGGTTTATGAGTTATGCTCCAAAAATGAAATGTGACGGACGGACGGAGCCCTTTTCTATATCCCCCGCCAATTTTGTTGGGCGGGGGATAATAAACAGTTAATGATACACTACTGCAAGTCTAGGGAGTCTTGACAGTTCTAATGCTCAGTTCAGTGTGTGGAATAGCCCTATACCTCGTTCAGCAATACAATCTACGTGCTACAGCTGTTGCAAGTCAAGGGAGTCTTGACAGTTCTCGAGCTCAGTTGACTGTGTGGAATAAGACCCTATGCCTTGTTCAGCAATACAATCTTAGTGCCACAACTATAGCAAGTCTAGGGAGTCTTGACAGTTCTAGTGCTAGGAATGCTTTGTTGACTGAGACTGACCTCATTTTGTCCTTGGCCGAGGAATGTCAGACTAACAAGAATGTGCTTGGTCCTAGGACCGAAACTGCTTCACATGATTCTACCACTTGAGTCCTAATATTGAGTAGCATCTGCCATATCTTACATCTTTATCCTTTTTCTCTTCTCGTGGCCTCTCGCGGCCTTGGCGGCTGTTGGAGGAATGTGCTGCTGCAGCTGCTTGAGGCTGACCTTGACCTCCTTGAGCTTGAGCTTGAGCTTGACCTTGTTGTTGCTGCTGTGCTGCTCTCTGCTGACTTGCATTGACTGCGGCAGCAGCGCGTCTATCTTCTTCTTCTTGAAGACGGCGTGCAAGTTCATGACTGGAAGTTAATTTTAAAATGCACATGAAGAGTTTTTTGTGACATTTTCACCAATTTTGCAGTTTTATCACGACAGCAAAATTCTATCTTTGTCCATTTGCACAAAGCTGTCATAGCTCCATGACTGTTGTCAGCCTTTGTGAAATGCCAAAATGCAAAGTAATGCATCCTATATGCATACAAATTGAGAACAGACACAAATAACTAACACTGCGAGTACTGTGAATAACAATAACAATAAATAGTTCAAAATAACATATATACTGACATTCTATTCTGGTAAGAAATACACTCAAAGTTCAGTGTATCAGTGGTTGACTTCTTTCGATCGAACATTACAACCCCTATCTATCATAAGCCTTCTAGGCCTAGTTCCACAAAGCGATCTTAGCGCTACGCTAGTCGTAAGCCTATGTTAAAGCATGGGAGTTACGATCATCTTAGTGCTAAGATCATTTTGTGGAACGGAACCTCGAGCATGTGCAAAGATATGTCATGAATAATCCCGGAAATGAAGTGAAGCGTGTCACAGGTCGCCAACCTAGGCCCCATATCATGCCATGAACCCCCTAAATGTGCTGAGAGTCACCCATCAACGCTACCCATTATCATAATTAGACATTGGACAATCGTAGGGTCCCACAGAGTTCATGCATGGAGCTGGGCTTATCGGAGTTATTCTCCACCTCATTTCAGAAGCTGACAAAAAGGGGCATACATCATGACACTGCACTGTAACAAGGTCATATACAAGGGGCACAGATGGCCAAGTTGTCCACGTTCGCAATTTGCTGTGCAGAGTTGCATCCCTTGGGCACGCCAGAAACCTTGAGTGTGGGTTCGAATCCCAGTTCGCCCCGATTATCTTCTAGGTTTGTCAGCACCATACCCGTGCTCGTGGGTTTCACTGAAGTGGTAAATGTCTAAGACCTGCATCACTTCAGGCTTTCCTCCAACATTAAGCTGACACGCCGTGATATAACTGGATTACTGTTAAAAGCGGCGTTAAACACAACTCACTCACTCAGTCAAATGTATTCACAGGACGACACAATACCTTCAAATATAAACAACTAATTATGTTGAACATCAAACCTCATCTTTGAAACAAAATCATATATTATTAGCTTTTTCATATATGCTCCTCAAAAGAATTCAAAGAACACCAGATTCTTTTCTATTACTTTTGTTAATCAGTCAGAATACGAGATTTCCAGTTTCTATTACTTCATTTTGTACCCACAATTTACACAACCTTTTATAACACACTGATGTCTAATGTTCTGAAAACATTTTTTACGGACCCCGATGCACGTTTTTTTTAATAGTAAAATCATCTTATTTTAACCTTTCTTTCACAGCAAAATGTTTGTCCAAAAAGAATCAAAAGAATCCTCTACCAGATGTGACCAATCTGTCCAGGGCCGTTCTCCACAAATCAATCTTAGCAGTATGACCATCGTATGTTAAAGTACGGGAGCTTTGTGGAACAGCGCCTGGACGGCTTTAATGACAGGTTATTGTGAATCAAACCTACTCAGCCATCTGCAGTGCACTGCTCTCCTGCGTGTACTGCCCCCATACCGTCTCCGGCTCTTCCCGTAACTCTGCCTCTTGCTGCAGGGACAGCGCCACCTGGTAGCTGGAAACAATGGGACACAAATATATCCTTGTCCTATGGCCCTTCTCAGTCTGTACCAGTCTCAGCACCATTTTAGTTGATGTTAGTGTCAATATATGGACCTTATCAGCTAAGCTTGCTAGACCAAATGAAGTATTACCAGACTTGAGATTCAGACTATTGGCTCATGACAAAGGCAGCTTGCTTTTTGATAAGAATGTTTGTGGATTTGTTTTCTCAAAATCTTTGGTTGGTGGTCAAAATAATTACAAAAATAGAACCTTCAAGAAGTGTACAGGTAACAAAGACTGGAAAAAATATCTCAATGAAACATAAAATGACACTGCCAGAGAAAAACCAGTCTCGATTATCCGCCGAAACAGTTCCCACTGGCCTAAAAGGCAAAATAACGGTGAAATTATATGAATGGACCACTGAAAACTGGCGATACTTTATGTCTGACAGTATTTGATTTGTACGGCAAACGGAAAGCATATTTACAGTAGAGGTCAGACCTTCTACCTGCCAAAGGGACTGACAGGCCTGTCCAAGCCATATTTTCCCTGTCAAAAAACGGTATATATCGGAACATGGAAATGCTGCTTACTCTTGGTCGATCTGCTGATCACTGCCAACAGGCACGCTACCCGGGGTGATGTTGCCTACAGGCTCCGGCTTGGTGTAGGTGCGGAAGTTGGCATCAACGAAGTGGCAGTCCCCTTCCACGTTGGAGAGCGTCTGCCAGACCACGCTGCTCTCGGTCAGAAAGCCCTGGTCCGTCACGAGCAGGAAAAGTTCATTCTGGAAGACAAGAGTTTACAGATAAGAACACAAGAGTTGACAGTTAAGAGCTACCGTGAAGATCTGTGGTAGAATCGGTCTTCATGCAGCAACCCATGCTTGCCGTAAGAGGCGACTATGCTTGTCAGAAGAGGCGAGTAACAGTATCGGGTGGTCAGGCTCGCTGACTTGGTTGATGCATGTCATCGCATCCTAACTGCGTAGATCAATACTCATTATGTCAATCACTGGACAGTCTGGTCTAGACTCGATTATTTACAGACTGCCGTCATATAGCTGGAATATTGTGTAAATAAAGAAACAAAGAAACAAAGTTGAGAGCACAAGAGTGTACAGTTCAGAATACAAGAGTGTACAGTTCAGAATACAAGGGTGTACAGTTCAGAATACAGATGAGAAAGGTCTGTTAAGAGCTACCTCAGTAAGTTAGTCACAATGACAGTGCGTTGTAATACATTTACATCAAGTACAAGACGTCAAAATGGGCGACACGATTAACGTGACGGGAGAGATTTTGGAAGTCGCTAATGATCATATGGCGGTTACATGTTTTAGTCATCATTGATCAATTGGACAATCATTGAAAGGTGATTAAAGATACGTCGAATAGACACTAAGGTAAACTCACAGATTGCTGTAGATTGTCACTATCAGCCTAGACACCGACACTACCATAGTTTGGATGTGCATTTCTTCCTTTTGTTCACTAGGATGGGTCATAGCAAGGATATTCGTGAATGATCATGCACTCAAACTCTCTGACATTTCTCAATGTATACTAAAATGCTGTGTTCAAGATTAAAGGGTCTAAATGATAAAAAAGAACGCTTCTGTGTGTATTTGTGCTAGGAATTCCCAGGGGTTTCCCCAGGAATGTGGAAGTAGTCTGTCAGTGTTTACGTCATTTCAAGCACATAATTTCGTGAAAAATGTATGAACATTAAATTTTGTCGTTCATACACTTATGAACATTAATTTTGCGGTCAGGTGACTGACCTCTCTTCCAATAGAAAAGCTATATATCGTGTATACCTAAAAAAAAAAATCTGCTTATGACCAAATTTAACACAGTCCCCAGGAACACAATGTCTATTGCTGAATCACATGAATGCTTAGAAATTAACTTTATTTTCACTATTACGCAAAATTCACCTGCTACAGACTTGCAATGTATATATGTGCCTACATGGTAGGAGACCTCCTTCTTGAAGCTTACTAGCCTCAGACGAGCAGAGTTAGGCTAATTTCAAACAATGTTGATTACATAATGATACACCTTTAAATAAAGGTCACCAGAAAAAAAATTCAGTTTAAAAATAACCCCAAACCAGTAGACATTCAGAATAAAAAATCTCCTCTCTCCCAGCAGCACAGAGCAAATTGTCTGAAGTAAATAACACCAAGTGCAGGTGGACTTAGGCGAGTGTTTCTGGGAGAGCCATGCAAATGACTTAAGTCAATGTTATGTAACACCTTGTGGTGAGGAGAAATGGGGTTAAATGTTGGGTTGAAGATTTATATAGTGATGTGTGTGTGTGTGTGTGTGTGTGTGTGTGTGTGTGTGTGTGTGTGCGTGCATGCATGCATGAAATGGGGTTAAATGTTGGGTTGAAGATTTATATAGTGATGTGCGTGTGTGTGTGTGTGTGTGCATGAAAAGGGGTTAAATGTTGGGTTGAAGATTTATATAGTGATGTGCGTGTGCGTGTGCGTGTGCGTGTGCGTGTGCGCATACGCGCTTGCTTTCTTGTACTAGTACATACAAAACCGATTTTCTAGTGCTTGCCCACTGAGATACCATGCCGCAGTTTAACATGAATACCCCACTCAGACATAGTATACAGACTCTGAGCTGACCAGTCCTTGTTTTAGCCCCTTAATGCCAAGCGCAAGGCAGGGTAACAACAAGTACCATCTTTTAACAGCTTTTAATATGACATGCCCAGGGATAGAACCCCAACCTTCTACTCTCTTGGCAGATGCTCTACCACTAGAACACGAGGCTGTCAACACCTAAATAAACTGTTGTATGTGTTCCTTATCAAGACGGCAGTTTGTAATCAAACACAATTTGCACCATGATGACATGAGTGAGTGAGTGAGTTGGGTTTAACGCCGCTTTTAACAGGATTCCAGTCATATCGCGGCGTGTCAGCTTAATGTGGCAGGAAAGCCCGAAGTGATGCAGGACTCAGACGTTTACCACTTCGGTGAAACCTACGAGCACGGGTATGGTGCTGACAAACCTAGAAACATAATTGGGGCGAACTGGGATTCGAACCCACAATCATAGGTTTCTGGCGTGCCCAAGGGACGCAACTCTGCACAGCAAATCGCGGTGCCTTAGACAACTGGGCCACCCGTGCCCCCTGATGATATGAGTAATTTTACATGAGTAATTTTAGTTCAACTGATAATCAAATAATGTCAGCTTTTATCATCATGAAGGCAAGAATGTCAAAATCTGACAGGTGTGTTTTGAAATTGACACTCTTAAGTTGGTTTGTTTGTTGTTTAACGCCGCACTCAGCAATATTCCACCTATATGAGGGCGGTCTGTAAATAATCGAGTCTGGACCAGACAATCCGGTGATTGACATCATGAGCATCGATCCACACAATTGGGATACGATGACATGCATCAACCAAGTCAGCAAGCCTGACCACACGATCCCGTTAGTCGCTTCTTACGACAATCATTGTCACCTTTTACAGCAAGCATGGGTTGCTGAAGACCTATTCTACCCCGGATCTTCATGGGTCTGACACTCTTAAAATCAACATCTCTGTTCATGATGATAATACATGTAATGATGATGGAGTGAGTGAGTGAGTGAGTGAGTGAGTGAGTGAGTGAGTGAGTGAGTGAGTGAGTGAGTGAGTGAGTGAGTGAGTGAGTGAGTATGGTTTTACGCCGCTTTTAGCAATATTCCAGCAATATCAAGGCGGGGGACACCAGAAATAGGCTTCACACATTGTACCCATGCTGGGAATCGAACCTGGGTCTTCGGCGTGACGAGCGAACGCTTTAACCACTAGGCTGCCCGACCGCCCCGTAATGATGATGGAACATGGTTAGGAATCTGTGTCACTTGAGCAAGACATAATGGGTGCACAAGCACTGTGTGAAACACAGGTGTTTAAGCAGTTCCGGAGGCAACACTTGCACCACTGCGAGCTTCAAAGAAGACAAATGCTGATATCACAAATGAGCATGTACGTCTTTCGGGTCACAAATACTCCACATTCTTTCAAGATGGACAGACCTTTAGCGTGACATTTGAGCGTGGCAGACATGCAGTAGGTCAACAGTGAAATGATTTCACCCAACACACTTCACATTGCTGTACAAAAAAAGAGAAGAATTCCGAACAAAGTTGGAATTTTAGTTTGGGCATGATGTATGCTTTGCAAGATGTAAATTGAGGACCTAATTTGTTTTGTCTTTCAAAGGTACTTCCTTTTTCGTGGAGCTTGAAAGATGTTTGTTTGTTTGTTTGTTGTTTAAAGCCACACTCTGCAATTTTCCAGCTGTGTGTCTGCAGTCTGTAAATAACTAAGTCTGGACAATCCAGTGATTTTATATATTTAAATACCTATATTTAAAGGTACAATTCATGTTATTAGTGTATGACCACACACAGTCAACCAAATTACCAAAGTAACCATGTCTGACCACCCTATTAATTAAGTTGCTTCTTACAACCAGCATAGGTTGCTGGGGACCTGTTCTAACCTGTACTCCCACCGATTGACATGTATGAGACGCACACATGGTAGCAGTGACATCAGTGAGCATGAATAGACATACAGTGAGTGAGTATGCTTTTACGCCGCTTTTAGCAATATTCCAGCAATATCACAGCGGGGGACACCAGAAATGGGCTTCACACATTGTACCCATGTCGGGAATCGAACCCAGGTCTTCGGTGTGATGAGCGAACGCTTTAACCACTAGGCTACCTGACCGCCCCTAATAGACATAGTCAAACTCTGTTATCTTGAACCCAACAAGATCTGGATCAACTGATGTGCTACTTCTGTTACAGTATTTTTAAGCAAAGAGATGACTACAATTTTGACAAAATCACGGACATTCATATACTCATGACAGATTTTCAAAAACTTGTCATGGTGACTCCCTGATCATAAAATACTCGTACACTGACCACTGAACTAATTGTCTGATTTTTGTTCAAACAGCACATTAACTATTTATTGAGCAGCTAGAGCTGAGAAAGGGATGAATATAGGCTGCTAGAGCTGAGAAGGGGATGAGTATAGTCTGCTAGAGCTGAGAAGGGGATGAGTATAGTCTGCTAGAGCTGAGAAGGGGATGAGTATAGTCTGCTAGAGCTGAGAAGGGGATGAGTATAGTCTGCTAGAGCTGAGAAGGGGATGAGTATAGGCTGCTAGGGCTGAGAAGGGGATGAGTATAGGCTGCTAGAGCTGAGAAGGGGATGAGTATAGTCTGCTAGAGCTCAGAAGGGGATAAGTATAGTCTGCTAGAGCTGAGGAAGGGGATGAGTATAGTCTGCTAGAGCTCAGAAGGGGATAAGTATAGTCTGCTAGGGCTGAGAAGGGTTTGAGAATGGAATGGAGGTGACTGTTTATTACATATATGCTCTGGGGAGAGACTACTGCAGGAATAGAAAGGATTACTAAATGAAGCATTAAATCTTTTTAGCAAAGTGATGACAACAATATTGACAAAAACTTGTCATGGTGACTCCCAGATCATAAAATACTCGTACACTGACCACTGAACTAATTGTCTGATTTTTGTTCAAACAGCACATTAACTATTTATTGAGCAGCTAGAGCTGAGAAAGGGATGAATATAGGCTGCTAGAGCTTAGAAAGGGATGAATATAGGCTGCTAGAGCTGCGAAGTGGATGAGTGTAGACTGCTAGAGCTGCGAAGGGGATGAGTATATTCTGATAGAGCTTTGACAGGGATGTGTATATTCTGATAGAGCTGAGAAGGGGATGAGTATAGG